GTTCCGTTAATGAGGTAACTCACAGCAGGTGTGTAGGGAGGCGGACCAGAACCAGGCGCCTCCTGGTGGAGGAAGGGAGACAAACACAGAAAAAACACAAACACAGACAGGAATCCTCACACAGCTACAATAAGATGTCGGTTAAAATTAAAAATTGTGACATTTGTATGAAGGCTTTTAATGTTGATGAGCGTCTCGTATCAACAGGTTAGCTCTAAGCTTTAGCTTCCGGTAGCTCAGTTACTGTCATGTATTTTAATAGATGTACAGTTATAAAAACAAAAACAAACTATTTACAGTTAAAGGTGTACTCAGCACTACTGCCAGCACTGCTGCTGCTGCTATCCATTGTCTTAGTAACTTGAAGAAAATCCGACTTTTTTCTTTTCTCTCTCCTTCTTCAACTACTAAAAAAATAAAAAGCGCTGTGTAACTTAACCCAACATAATAAACACTTAATCACATTTGCCCTCATAATTTCTAATTTATCTTTAAGTCATCGTCACTCTGCCACTTTCTGATGGTCCTATCGGTTTTCCCATCATGCTTTCCACCATTTCCCAGTTTAAATCTTTAACTTCCAGATACTTTTCTGCAGCTTTCACTATTATTCAGATTTTTTTGTTTTTTCTTGTCGTCTGTGCACTACAATTGATCACCTCAACCATGAAAAAAACTATCTTTTTTTTTTTTAACAATCAGTAAATGTTCTTCAATCTTTGGACATTTCTCCAGAGGTTTTTAATTTGCTGTGTGCTAAACTGTAGGTTTGGGTTTTCTCTAACTGAGATGGATCCTTTTTGCAGCTTCAGCATCAGTTATTCCAAGCTTTAATTTCAGTTTTTTAATTTCCTGACACCTTTTGCTTACTTCACACCCGTGTTATGCAGCAGTATGTTCTCCACCACAGTTACAGCATTCAATTTAATTTCTTTCCCACATTTTCCATATTCGTGCTCTCCAGCACACTTTCCACATCTCTGTTTTCATTTGCATACTGCTGCTATATGTCCGAATGTTTGCCATTTGAAACATCTTAGAGGTGGAGGATTGTAAATTTTGCCATTGTAGCTAATGTAACCAATGAAAACTTTGCTGGGTAATTGCTCCTCTTTAAATTTAATTAACACAGAGAAGCTGTCACAACTTTTTCTCTTTCTTGTTTTTATCCATTTCACTTCTTTTACTTTTGCACCATTTATGTTTTCTAGAATCTGTTTTTCAGACACTTTAAGAGGAACTCCTCCAATGATTCCCCTGCTGATCTTTTGTTCTCCACCAAGCTGCGCTGAACTCTTTCCCTCAATGTTGTTGATCTGTATTGCTTTGCCTTGCTGAGCGCTGTCTCTGCAGTATATTAACAGGTCTCCACTATACAGTATTCTGGCACTTCGAACTTTGGGAACCTGGGGAATTACTAGATTGATCATCACCTGAATGTTCTGAACTGGACTCCCCTTCAATTGATCTCTGCTTTTTCCGCTTTTTCTAATTTTTTGAGGCTACCCTCTTTCAACCTTCTTCATTGTCACTATTTCCCTCTTCCATCCCACAAGAATCAGTTCCTGTTTCCTCACTACTCACGGACCAGGACATTTCTCCACAAGCGACTTCGAAACACGCGCCTCTGCGCAGCGTTGTGACGTAACTGGCCTTAAAATGCGTCCTTCGAAGGACGCAGCCTGCTACCTTATGCCATCTCACACTGGGGAAGATTCTTGGATTACGTCAACTGGAAAGATGGCTGCTTCCAAATTGACATTTGATAAATAACAAAACTAAAGAAATCTTATTTAAGATAATTTATAACATTTATCCTACCAAAGTCTTTATCCAGAAACGCTTTAAAAAAAAAACATTGATGTTACTTGCAGCTTCTGCTGTAATAATCCTGAAACACTTGTTCATCTATTCTGGAACTGCCCACTTATCCAGTCCTTCTGGTACGACATTTATTACTTAAGTGAAAAATAGACAAAGATTTTCTTTTATTTTGGAAGACTATACTATTCGACATTAACGGAAATTGCAAGGTTCAACCAAAGGGATCAGATAAGGTATATGTAATTTACTTGATTATTATAATGGCCAAGTTCTTTATATATAAATGTAAATATAGAGGCTCCAAACGTGCATTACTGCTTTAAGCACAAACTCAAACAATACATTGACACCGTACAATTATCAGATAATAAGAAAGCAATCAAAACTCCAGAAGCCTTTGTCCATTTTAATCTGCTTATTTGGACAGCTGTTTCCCCCTAGCGTTTACTTTTATTTAATAGATGTACTATTTAATTTTTTTTCCTCTTGTATTTCTTCCTTACTGTTTCTTGTTTTGCACAAAATGAGGACATTTACTTGAGTGGTAAACAGCAGAATTTACACCTTTTTTTTTTTTAATCATATTTTTATTATTGTTAAAACAAATGTACAATGCCATTGAAAAATCGTAGTGTTTTGTAGTTGTTACAATTGTTTTGACCATGTACAGTATAACAAGAACCACACAGCATTTCAACATTTTTATATTTTTATAAACCCCATCCAACCCCAAAAAATAAGTAAAAAAATTAATAAATTGAATTTACACCTTTTAAAAATATCTGTAAAAACTGGTTGTTCAGAATACCTATAGTGCAATATGGTTGCTCTGTAATGTTCTTTGCAGAAACAAATAAAATTGTATTGGGAGAAAAAAAAAAGGATGCAGCCTGCGAATTGAGGCGCAGCTACTGCTGTCAGACAACATGCAGTAATCTATAAATGTTTTAAATCAGGTTGGGTCCGGATCCGGAACGTGGGCTGCTAATCTGTGACCACTGTGTTTGAAATTTATTTAATTATTTAATCATCAATTTTATTAAATCTGAAGTTAAAATGTTAATGAAGCAGAAAATAGAGGATAATGGCAAAAGGAATGGGAGAAAGGAAAAAGTAGTTGGTTTTATAAAATTCAAAAGAAAACTGGAGAAATTAGAAGAACAGAACTAGAAGAGAAGAAAAAAATGATTTCTCCTTTGAGATTTGGGCCTACCAGTTTAAACAGTTCTCTGTTTATCATGGGGAACCATAGGGATAGGAATGTGAATACTGAGGCATAGATGAAACAATCGAACATGTGATGTTTTACTGTAATAAATATGAGGGGAGACAGCAATTACTTCAAAATTTAAGTAAAGCAAAAGTTAAATCAATTTGAATTATTTAGAAGTTTTTCAGAAATGAACATTTACAGGATAATATTTCAATATCTAAAAATAACACATTTGTATCATACACTCCATACCAGTAGATGGCAAAAAATGCATCAATTAGTTGATTACCAACTGCCATAAAACCTGGCATATGGTTGGATGGAAGACTTACTTGGAAAGTTCATACTGAAAAGATGATTGATAAATGCAAAAGAGTTCTAAATGTTTTGAGATGTTTGATTGGGAGAGAGTGGGGAGCTGAGCAGAAAGCATTGAAATCAATTTAGGCAGGTTTGATTGGGTCTGTTTGTGATTATGGATGTATTGCTTTTGGTTCAGCATCAGAGTCATTACTTAAAAAAATGTATATTGTTCAGTATCAAGCACTGAGATCATGCACAGGGGCCATGAGATCATCACCAATTCAACAGTTTGTTTTTTGATCAGAGGCTTGTATAAAGTCCTTTTAAAGTTTAAAGTTTTCTATTCCAGGTGCAGACCGACCAGTTCTGAAGAAGAATGGTTAGACAGACACGCAAAGACTAGAGTCTTAAAGGAATATTGGGAAAAGAAGGAAATATGAAGGATATTCACTTTATT